AAAACAAAAAAAAAAAAAGAAAAAAAAAAAAAAAAAAAAAAAAAAAAAAAAGAGGAGTCAAATTACAGAAATAGATATTGAAGTGGTTCAACAATTTATCAAAGCTAGGCAGGTTGTGGTTCTGTATGTATAGTATTAACAATTAAAAGTGGAAAGTGGGACTGACGACGAAACCCGATAAAAGCAAAGCCTGGGCCTAATGTGGCAACAATGGATCGGGAAAAGAGTCATACTCTGTGTACACAATAGCCATGCAAAAGCTTGTCGTTTCAGTGCCATTTGGTGCAATATAAATTGAATGCGTCTCTCTGTATTCTTCTCCTTTATCTCTCTTTTTCACCTTATATAGCAACTCCTTTTCTTTTCCTTTTTTGGTCAAAACATATCCTTTTATAAACCTGCATGCGTATATAAACTGTTGAGCAAGAGAGATTGAAGAGGAATTACTCTTTTGGGATCTTGAATCTATTATTTTTGTGGGTTTTGGGAGAGAAAAAATGGGTCGAGGAAAGATCGAGATAAAGAAGATCGAGAACTCGAATAGTAGGCAAGTTACATTCTCTAAGAGGCGTCAAGGCCTTCTGAAGAAGGCCTATGAACTGTCTGTTCTATGTGAAGCAGATGTTGCTGTCATTATTTTTTCCAGCACTGGGAAGCTTTTTGAGTACTCTAGTTCAAAGTAATTGCACTTCTTCTTGCAGTTTTTCGACTTTTCTTTTTCGGTATTTTTTTTTAATTTTAATTCCTTGGGGATTTATCGATGTCTTTAATGGGCTCTTGAGTGTTTTGTTGTTGTTATATAATTCTGATATGGATTACCAAATCCACACCATTGCATGTAGATTTTTAATTGTTAAGATTGTGGATTTTGTTAGATTTTTTGGAATTCTGCTTTGTTTAATTAATTTATCTGATTTTATTTTTCGAAAGAATTAAAGAAAGTTTTCCCCCCCGTGCATGTGCTTTATAATGAATTCTATTACTGTAATTTTGAGTTTTTCAGTGGTTGATTTGTTTATTTAAGTTATTTTATGCTACAAATATGAAAAATTAAGTGACTTGATTGACGGTGTAAAATTCCTTTCTAAAAAAATTAACTCAGTTAAAAATCGTACCTTTATTTAATTACCCTGGTTTTCTGCAAAACATATTTGGTAAAATTCAGTACAATCTTTGTTTGAGACTACTGTTTGTGAATGCAAATCTAGTTTATTTCTTCGTGGAACAGATTTGAGGAATAACGTGTTGCTAAATTTATACCATCCGTTATATTATATGAGACAACAGGTTGAAGCAAAAAAGAAATACTTATTGTACTATGTGTGATATGGTGAATATAGATACAGTTTTTAATTTTTCTTTGATTCCTTGAATTTGATATGTCGAGATATTTTATCTGTCTCTCTAGAATTCAGTACGACATTTTGTGATGTAATTGTTCGATTAATGCAGCTACATTTACTTCATCCCAAAAAAACTAAAAATTAAAATAAAAAAATCTTGAAATCTTCTTGGAGTGTGTTGTTACGTTGTAACTAGAATTAGGAAAGAAGGGTGTAGATTAAAGTTTCAAAAATTTGGGAATAGGATAATTATTTGCATTTTGATTAATTGAATATTTCTTTTGAGTTTGATTGTGCAAACTTTTAATATTGGAACTAGACATTAGTCAATCAGAGGTTATAACAGCAGAGAGGTTCGAACTGTGAAATTTTGCACACAGATGAAGAATGCCAAAGTGCCAAAATTTTGGTTGCTCTATGAGTCTCTGTCAAATAGAAGAATCAAAAAATAATTTCTTTATGAAATAAATGAATTGAAAGCCTCACAATCATTTGCCTATTCATATGTGATTTTGTTGCAGCATGCAAACAATACTTTCAAGATACAGCAAGTCTATGGATTCTTCACAGGTTTCTACACCGGAAATCAAGTCGGAGGTATGGTACTCTCATTTTGCCTAATTTCAGCCTATATTGGTCAGCTCCCTTCCCCCACTCTGTTGATCCCTGTCTTTCTCTCTCAGCACAAATCCGATTTTCTGCACGATATTAAAACCTACAGTACCTTTGCTGCATACGTGCACTCTTGTGCTAACACAATCCACACGTTTATATTAAATTTGTATGTCGTTCAGATATGTAGTTAGATTAGACGAAGTAATTGAGCAAATTCAGCCTTGTGAGTCTGTAGTTCCAATTAGCTACATATCTTTGAATGTAATAATTAGACAAACTTGAGAAGATATAGCCAATGTGAGGCCATTATGCTGACCTCTATGCATTCTACCAGTAAATTTGTTAATAAAGTGTGTAACTTAGTTAAAGTGACTATTTGCTGTAAGATTTATGTTGTTTAATACAATTTATCAAATGAGTTGAGTTTTCTGTGTAATTTCTCTCACTTTTACCAGAAGCAGGAATCAAAGGAAGTTGATGTTCTCAAAGAGGAGATAGAAAATCTGAAAATGAAGCATTTGTATGTTTTCCTTTAGTTCTCTCATTGTCACTATAGCATGTTTGGTATGGCGGATTGTATAGCACATAACATAATTAAGATTCAGTGCTATCCAATACTCGTAGCAAACATGCACTAAATGTTTAGGAAATCTGAATTTCATTATATATATTGCCTGTGCTGTTTAGGCGAATGTTGGGTAAGGACCTTACAGGCATAGGCTTACGAGATTTGGGTGAGCTGGAACAACAACTAAATGAAGGGCTCATAAGCATAAAGGAGAGAAAGGTTAGATATTTCTTGAGTTTCTTTCACTTGTGCAATCATTAGCTTTTACATTGCAAAATCTCCAATGACATTTAGTCTGTAGCAATATGTTATGTTTTGACTCCATTTTGGATCCATAACAGAGTGTTCTACATTTTCAGGAACAAATATTGATGAGGCAACTTGCCCAATCAAGACTGCAGGTAACCTGAGTTCATGCAATTTCCTCTTTTTCACCTATTGATGGGAGTCAAACTACAAATTTGAAGGGGAAGAAAGCTAATTATGTGTTATGGGATCTGTAGTGATAACAATTCCTCAGGAAAATTTAGACATCTTTTACTTTGTGTTATCCGTTTGATTTCCTATGCAGGAACAACGGGCCATGCTGGAGAATGAGACTTTACGCAAACAGGCAAATAAAATATTTGTTTATGTGGATGAAAAATTTCCCATAACTTGGGCTTTTGTTTATGAATTTTGCCTAAGATTATTTATTGGCTTAACATTAAATGTAGGTTGAAGACCTTCGAGGCTTCTTTCCATCCTCCAGTCATAGTCAACCACTTTCTATTGAGAACCATCCAGTGGATTCGGCCATTAGAGCCGGCTCTGTAAGTCCTGAAGTATTAAGGAATGGTGGATTTGAAGATGACAACTCAGACACCACCTTGCAATTGGGGTATTTTGTTGTGCTATGTGCTCCAATGTTGATGAATTTTACAGAATTGCACAGAGAGAGCAAGAGAGAAAATACGCAGGTTTACCAGGTTTGGTAGTAGGCCAACATCTGTGGGAGCGAAGAGACTATATTCTGTATATTGAAATAATAGGGTTACAACATATATACTAACCTAGTCCGTAAAAGATATTAGGAAAATCCTAAAAATATAGACACTAGCCAACTTTTCCATTATATATGTGTTCACTCGATATAAGTCACATACTCCAACAATCTCTACCTTAGTGAATATCCACCACTTGGGAGAAAGAAAAACAAACCTTGGACTCCAATTGGGACCAATAGGTTGGGACACCTCTCTAATACCTAGAGACTTTAATCAAGTTCAAGCAATGTTTAAACTTAGCTGTGCTAACAGGCTTTGTCAATATGTCCGTTACATTTTTAAAAGTTTAAACGTTCTCAAGTAATAATTTATCTGAAGAAACTAACTCCCTAATTCTGTGAAACCTCATATCTATAGGCTTCATTCTTGGATGAAATACTAGGTTCGTTGCCGAATATATGGCACTCCGATTATCAAAATGCAAATGAACTCTTAAACATCCATCTTATTAATGACCAACCCTGTAAAACACAAAAAACACAAACTTCCTTGGCAGCCTTAGCTACCGCTCTATACTCTTCCTCATTGTAGATAGCGCATCCAGAGACTGAATCATAGACCTCTAACAAATAGGCCCCCCTGCAAGAGTGAATACGTAATAGTCGACCTCCTGTCATCCATGTCCTTTACATAATGTGCATCCACATATTCCACAATTTAAGGATCTTATGTTGTCTGCCAAACACGATGCCCTAGTTTGTAGTACCCTTCATGTATTTGAAAATCCACTTTGACTGCATCCCAACGTTTTAGTCCTGAACTTGCCAAAAACTTGCTCACCCCACTAGCATCTTATGCTAGATAAGATCTTGTACATACAATAACATACATCAAGCACCCAATTGCAATAGCATATGGAACCTTTGATATATCTTCAATTTTAGCATCTATCATTGAGCGACAGACAATCTAAAGTGATTTGCCAAAAGTGTACTCACTAGTTTTTTGTTATTTATGCTGAACGTCTACAACACGTTTTCAGCATAGCCACCCTAATACAATTATCCATCCCGAGAATCTTCTTGGCCGCACCCAGAGTCTTCATGTTAAATACTCTACTTAACCAAGTCTTCAGCTTGTTAACCTCATTCATACTCCTTGCAAAAATCAATATATCATCCACATAAAGTAACAGAAAAATAAATGAATAGATACCAAGCCTCTTCACATAAGTGTAACAATCATACTCACATCTCAATAGCCAATCCAATTCATGTAGGAGTTGAATCCCTTAAACCACTATCACAAAGACGTCTTTAGCCCATAAAATGATTTACTCAATTTACAGACATAGTTTTCGTCTTTAGGCTGACTGAACCCTTCTGGCTGTACCATGTAAATTTGCTCCTCCAAATCTTAAGAAAAGTTATCTTTATGATATCTGCGCCAAATGCATGTCTAAATATGTTACCAAAACCAACACTGCCTTGATGGAAGTGTGTCTAATCACATGATAGAAAATCTCTTTGTAGTTAACCTATTTCATCAGTGAGTAACTCTTTACTAGTAGATGAGCCTTGAACTTTTCCTCCTCTTTTTCAGATCCTGCTTTCTTCTTATACACTATTTGTAACTTATCACCCTCTTTTCCTCTAGAAGCTCCACCAACTTCCATGTCTAGTTCTCATTCTGGGACTCCATCTCTGCTACCTTAACACCTATCAATCTACTCATCTTTTGGCTACGTGAGCTTTCTAAAAGTAGTAGGGTCCTCATTACTGGTAATAAGTGTATAAGAAACTAAATCTTTAAAGTTGTACCTGGTCGGTGGCCTAACAGTGTGTTTAGTTTTGTTTGTAGCTATATAGTAATGCTCCTAATCTTTTGAGCTAGAACTCTCTGCATTATGTCGTCATCCTCTCTAACATGAGTCTCTAATTTCATCTGCACCACGCGCTCATCACACCTGATTCTCTTATCCCTGAGTACACTACAACGTGAATTTATCATAAAATGCCATATCTATATAGATCACCACCTTGTTTGCCTTTGGAATCCAGAGCTTGAACACCCTCATCCCATTTTTATACTCCAGAAAGATACACTATCTATACTTTCATCAAACTTCAATCTCTCCTCGCTAGAAACCTGTATGTGATTGGACAGTGAAACACTCTCAAGTCGGACATATGCTGACTTTCTAGTTTCAAATCAAACTGTCGCCATGGATTCCTCATCCTTTATGTGATACATCACTTCTTCACTTCAAGTTCCTCCAAATCTTTGTCATCCATGCCTTCTGGCTTCTTTCCATATAATGCTTTGACCATTTTTTGCGGCACGGAATTTTTATATTTGAAAACCTTTTCAGTAAGGATCTCAGTATATAGCGATTGATAAATGAATCCTTGATCATAATTTCTAGTATTCATACTGAGTCTAAATGAAACTTTTCATTGGTAGTAAAACACCGATTTTCTTGTAGATCCTCTGCCCTCCTTTGCACTAACCCATATGTGTCGAACTTGACCATATGAAACTTCGTAGAAGAAACCCCAGACATCTAAACCTGACGTATCTAACTTGAGCTTGATACCAGTCATGTGATGTATGTGCGGCAATATTGATGAATTGTATAGAATCGCAACGGAGAAACACACAGGTTAACGTGGTTCAATAATAGGCTACAAGAGTGTAAGCGGCTACATATCCCTCACTCCACTCATGCATCAACTTGCTTTCGCAGTATACGTGTTCAACTCGATACGAGTCACATACTTCAACACCCCTGAACTTTGCACCCAAATTTTATGAATTTGTTTGACCTTGTTTTGAATCATTTCTGTAGATTTTTTCTTGGTATTCACATGTACCTTTTGTTGTTCAGGCCTCCAACTGTGGTTTTGTCGAAAGAAGATGAAGATATCTGATGGAGAAACACAACTAATCAACTCAGAGACGCAAGCTAGCACATTATAGTCTTTCTTGTTATCTCTTTTCGTGTGCAATAGGGCCTTTTTGAGAGAGATTAATCCTAGGTACTTGGTAGAAGCTATGTTGAAGCATTCATAAATGTAGTAACTTTTAATGACTTCAAGATAATCGAAACGCTGGTTTAGTTTAAGACAATGTATTTCACAGTTCTGGTTTGCAGTAGAAAAAGATTGTTATAGTAGTGAATGGTTTTCATTAACTTGTGCTTGTTTTTATTTTCATTGTGTCTGCAGAGACAGTAGGAGAGTAAAATAGACAGATATAAATGTTTTCTATTCATTATGATATACAAGGATCTGTCTATTATTCTTTCATATTTACACTACATATGTACAAATAATCATATCGGTTCACCTACTGCTTGTTTCCTTTGAATCGAAAGTTTTCGAGCAACTGATTTCTGGTATCTAAAATTTGAGAAAACAGAGCTTTTGTTTGCTTCTCTATTTCCTGCAGTGAATTCTCTAGCACGACCAATCTTCTCTTCAGTTCCTTAGCTGCCTCATTGCATCTTCCAGTAGATAATTCTGAGGCAAGGTGCATGGCTGCATCATTGACCTCTCTTACCTCTTTAATTGCATCCGGTTTTTCATTGATCTCTCTGCAAAATTTTGAATTCGGGCAGTTCGTGTTGGAACTATTGGATTTTCTTGTTTCAACGCTGGATAATATCGCATCTAGAACCCAAAATTCAATGCTCTTCATTGCTGACAAAGCTTGAAGAACAATAAATTCCTTTTCAGAACAAGATTTTTCTTCAATCCCAGATAATAATCCTTCCACTTTAGAATCCTCTCCAAGTTTGATACTACAGCATCTTGGTCGGATTTGCATCAGATTTTCTTTTGCAGAAGAAGGGGATTTATCAACCTGGCTCAAAGCATAGATAAGGGAAATCTTAGCCTGGTTCAAATGGGAAATGGAAGAGCTAACAGAATTCAACAGATCCAGGACCTGTAAACTGTATTTGAGAAACTCTTCAGTGGCGGCACCACCCCATGCCTTCATGGGGTAGTCTATTTCCACCACCAGCCTTGCAAAATCCTTGTTAACCATATCCAACACACCAAAACATTTCTGAACCCATGCCAAGGACAGTAACTCTGATCCTTCTACAGGCTTCAACAAGATTTGGCTAGTAATATTCGATATTTTGGCCCGGAAAACATCTATAGAATCCAATAAGGCTCTCGAATCCGGGTTGTGATTTTCCATTCTGGAGAGAAATTTAAGCGAACGGCCAAGCCTTTGTACCAAGAGTACTACCATTGCAAACAGAAATCCGAAACAAAATTCTTGTTTTTGGGATGTTGCTTGTGCCATTTTTATATGGTGTAGTGAACAAGTGGGACAACATTTGTATCGTTGTTGTTTAGGCTAAGGATTGTTCGAAAATATAAGTTATAAGCAAGTGGGACAGTATATGAAAGTTTGAAGCAAAAGGAGTGGATTGGTTGGTTAGTCAAATACCGTGTGCATTTTTACTTGGAGAGTTTCATTCAAACACGCTTCTGGCGACGAGTTGATGCCATAGTGCTTCATTTGCAAGATTTAGAAGCACGATGGAAGGTTAATCAATAAAGAATTATTTCTTGTTAATTTTATAGAGGCCATGGATAGGGTTTTGATGTCCGTGTGTATTAAAGATAAGTAAACCAAAGGTCTTAACAACTGCCATGGATAAGAAACTTTGAAAAATAAAAGTTTATGAAGTTCATGTTTTTTGTTACTTCAGATTGATTATATTTTATTGCATGCATAGTAATTGTAATGATAATGTTATATATTGGGTCGTATACAGATTGCAAAATTACACTATATTTTTATAATTAAGTTCTTCAATCTTTGCTCGTTATATCAATTATTTCCTTAATTTTTTCTTCAAATTATTACTTTTAACCTTCCATTAATTAATACATTTCACCCTTGATAATGATTTATGTCAAAATATTTTATTTTCGTACGTTGTAACGCTGGAGAAATATATTTCATACTTTTTTATTTATTTATTTTTTAAAAATACGATAGAAAAATAAATTGTTATACATTATATCCACGTACTTTTTGTACATAAACTGCTATCAAATAAAAATGTATTAACTAATGGAAGGTTTGAGGATAAGAATGTCATGAAAAATCGTTTAAGAACATAGATACTATAATGAGTAAAGATTGAGATCACAATTTTATTTATGAAATAATTAAATAAAAATATATTTTATCAATTAAATATATATTTTATTAATTAAATATACTAAGATCACAATTCTATACTATTTGGTCACAAATTATCCAATTAATTAATCACGAATTATTTCTTGATCACAAATCAAAATTTTTATAAGTCACAAATTATTTTACGATCACAAATCAATTGTAGGTCATGTTTATTCATCGGCCACAAATCAAAAAATTTATAAGTCGTAATTATAATCGATCACAACTCACAAATATAGTAAGACTCAAATTTTTAGGTCACATATTATTTATTGACACAAAATATCCAATTTATTGGTCACAAACTAACTAATTTTTTGGTCACAACAAACTAACCAATTTATTGGCCACAATGAACCAAATAATTGGTCACAAACATTCTTCCTACAACCTCCACCTCAATACTGCAGCCACCTCCACCAGAGCTCTCCGTTCCCACCTCTACCACCACATCACCAACAAAATCAAAGCACAAATCAGATCCAAAATTAAAGCCGTTGTTGTAGTGTCATCACTGATGCGATGAAATCGCGCGCAGCAGTTGTGACTTCATCGTAGAGTTGACTGTAGCGTGCAATTTGAAGCAACGACAACGGCGTCATTGCAGCAACATTCCTAGATCTGATCTAGAAAACAATCCACTTTGCACGTGGCTCTCTATGTGATGCTAGTGTTCGGATCTATTAGGTCGTCAACAAAGATGGAGAGGATAGGGTGGTTAACGGCGAAGTGAAAAAGAGATATAGAAAGATACAAAAACTACGACAAAAACCACTCAAAAATCACCACAAACCACCGCAAAATGTGAATCTTTCAAAAAAATATTAGGTTTCTCTCTTAAGAAGTCTATCCAAGTGTATCTAGAAAAATCATCAATAACCACATAAATATACTTATTACCACCGAGGCTTTTAGTTTGAGTTGGCCCCATCAAGTCCATGTGTAACAATTCAAGAGAGGTAACAAGGAACTGATCTTGTTTATGTAAAACTCTAGTTTGTTTACCTTTTTGACATGAACTACACACACTTTTAGATTTTTCTGTGAGTTTCGGAACTCCTCCTACTACATTTAGCTTAGTAAGTCTGACAAAATCTGTATAGTTCAGATATCTTAACTGTTTATGCCATAGATCTGTAAAGTAAGCTTTCGAAACATTACAGGTAATATCAGATTCAAGAAACAACAATTATCCCTAGATCTAGCACCTCATAAGACACAACTATCATCATTTTTAACACTTTACAATAATTTTTTTGTGAACACGAACATGAGATTATCATCACAGAGTTGACATAGACTAATTAGGTTTGCTTTCAAATCAGTAACAAATAAGACATCATTTAATAAAGGGAGTCCCTCAACCAATCACAATGATATCAACACCTTCAATTTTGCTTTTAGTACATCCCCAAAGGTAATGAAACCAATTGCATGACTTTTAAAATTAGTTAACATAGAACAATTACCAGTCATGTGTTTGGAACAACTACTATCAAAGTACAAGAGTTAGGCACAATAGATTTATAAGCAAAATTAACAACTGATGTGCAATTGTGATATTTGAATTAAAGATTGGATTCAGTGCCACGTATAATTATGGACACCATCATATAAACAATTATGTACACGTAACACTTCCCTTATTTATGGCTTACTCGCAAGGCCTCTTTTGAAATGTATTGTCACAATGTCGTAGTGACACACATGAAGTCGATAACTTCAACGAAGTACTCTATTGATTAAATTAAAAATTCTAGTAATTTGTGGTTCTGTGCGAGGAAATAAGCAATAATATTAACACTTTTCTTTTTCGTTTTTTCATTAAATATTTATCTTTCACAGTTCTCAAATTAACAACATAAATACTTCACTTCAAAGTGCACGCGACTATTGTTTTTCTTCCTTATAAGCAATCTTGTTATTAATTTGATACTTGATACGAAATTATTAATCATAATGTTCATCATAAATAATTATCTAATTATATTTTTTAAAAAAAATTGTTTAACAAAAATACTTTTGTACATGGATTCTATAAATGGATAATTATATTGATTGATCAATTTAAATGCATATGCTATGTGATCGGCACAAAATTAGATGTACAAACTCCAAGAAAAGGATCCTTATAACACGCTCTTGCCTAAAAATCTTGATGCAGATTCTGATTAAATTATGCTATAAGTACAGAAATTTTTTCACAGATTTTGACCGTACTTATAGAATTATTGTTATTACAAATATCTATGCACCTTGAAAAAATGAGTTGTTTGCCCTCAATTTAATTAATAATTTCCTATATCTTAATCCAATTATAATTCAGATGTTGAAATTTCTATGAATTCAAACCAGAATTTATTCAACAAGGCAATCATATATTCATATAAAACCTTATGAACAAAAAAGTGAGAAAGTTCCATATAATCATGAGGAACAAAACCACTCAGATTCTTGTCTTGTTCCATTTATTTTTAACATGTTTTATTGATCAGAGTTCTGGAAAGAAGCAAAATGAAGCCCTTTCCCACTTATACAATGAAAAGTTTTGGAAAAATACAGGAGCCATTGATAGAAGCCAATTCAGTGCAAGTAGTTATATTAATGGAGAAGAAATTCATCTTCAAAAAGGGACGAAAAAGAGGGATAGGATTAGGAGATTGCCTGGACAGCCACAAGTTGGATTCAGACAGTACGGGGGATACATTACAGTGAATAAAACGGCTGGTCGAGCATTTTATTATTATTTCGCAGAGGCTGACGAGCATTTGAGGAAGTCATTGCCTCTTCTTCTTTGGCTTAATGGAGGTATTTCTATTCATTCATTTTTGAATCTTGATTTTATATGTCATCAGGTGAAGTAGCAGTGATTTCATATTCATCAATTCAAGATTTTTAATATATTAATTTGATGTCGACTTTGACGAGTAGGGGGTCAACTTAGTGGTCGAGTATGCTATTTTAACAAGAGTATATACATTTTGTTAAGAGGGATAACGTAATATTTTTTTGAATAAACCTCGTTTCACTTTTGATATTTAATAAAGTTTTGATTGTTGTCATCGAACATTTTCTTTGAGTACTTAAAAACCTATTTCGGAACTTTCTTTTTAGGCCCTGGTTGTTCTTCGCTTGGATATGGAGCATTGCAAGAGATTGGACCATTTCGAGTTAACAGTGATGGAAAAACGCTGAACAAAAACAAATTTGCATGGAACCATGGTATATAATCTTGTACTGTATTAACACTTACTGAAATAAATTCAATCTTCTTCAGTATCTTAACTTGTCAGTTTCTTGACTCCCCCCAGCTGCAAATATGTTATTTTTGGAGTCTCCAGCTGGGGTAGGATTTTCATATTCAAACACGACAACGGATATCGTTAAAGGTGGAGATAGAAGAACAGCCATTGATAATTATATCTTTCTACTTAATTGGCTCGAGAGATTTCCAGAGTATAAAAATCGAAACTTCTATATTTCTGGAGAGAGTTATGCTGGTCATTTTGTACCACAGCTAGCACATACAATCCTTCATCACAATAAGAAAGCCAACAGGACAATTATCAATCTCAAAGGAATCATAGTAAGTTCCTTTATTTAAACTTTAATTATGTTAGATTTTTTCTAATTCAGCATAGAAAAAATATGACTGTTTGTCAATAATTTTTGGTAAATGAAATTAATATGTATAGTATGCATTAGACTTAAGAATCTGCATCTTAGAAATATTAGCTTTATTCTGTCGAGTTTATATATTTCAAATTTTCAAGAGAATTTTAAACATTTTTAACTACTAAATAAATGACTTTTCAACGTTACAAAATTTAAATCACGTAACAATGTTAGGAGTGTCAATAGGTTGTCGTTAGCTTGCATTGGCAAACTTTACACAGTTGGTACCGTCTTAGGTTCAACACCGATATAAATTTTGTGACTTAACGGTCCATTCACTTTAATCATAATCCTTAGCACATATGCATCAAAAAATTAACATCAATGTCTTTTTCTTGTACATAATATTGTAGATTGGAAATGCTGTGATAAACTATGAGACAGACACGAAGGGAATGTATGAATATTATGCAACTCATGCTCTAATCTCGGATCAAACATTGTACCAAATTCAAAAATTCTGCAATTTTTCCACGAAGCCTTTAAATCAATCAGATGAATGCAATGAAGCTCTTGATGAAGCTGACGCAGATACGGACGGCCTTGATGTATACAACATCTATGCTTCTTTATGCCCTGATTCCGAATTCACATCCAATTCCAAGAAAACTTCGGTAAGTAAATTTTAATTTTAATCTTTTATCGAATTATGAAGAATTGGACACGACAACTAACAAACGTGCCATTTGCAGGTAAAGAATTTTGATCCATGCAGTGACGATTACGTGTATATGTATCTGAATCGACCTGATGTTCAAGAGGCACTTCATGCCAATGTCACCAAACTGCATTACAATTGGCAATCGTGCAGGTCAAATTGAACATCATTCATTTTTATTTATTATTCACATTTTCAGGGTCAATCCAAAATATCGATCTTTATTAGCTATTTTTCTTGTACAGTTCTTGAAATATAGTTAGTGAAATGCATGTTATGTTACACCTGAAAATTGTAAAATTTATTTCTTTGTACAAATTTCCTAATCGAGAAATTTATTTTTTCTTACTCATTTTCTATCATACATTTTATGGGATCTACAACTTTTGTCAAGTTTACACATTTCGTCAACTTTTATCAAAAATAAAAAAAATTAATTGTTATTTAAGCTTAAGAAGAGCTTAGGATAAATTTTCCTTTTTTTTTCCTTGAAAATTGCAGCGACTTTATCGAAAGATGGGAAGATAGTCCATTAACAATTATTCCCCTTCTAAAAGAATTGATGGCAAATGGACTTCAAGTGTGGATATTTAGGTAATTAAAACTTATTTCATAAGTGGATTTCGTTTACTTATATATAACATATGTAAATATATGAAAGCATCTCGATTATTTCAAATGCAGCGGTGACACTGATGGAGTCGTACCAGTAACTTCTACGAAGTATTCTATTAATCACATGAAACTTTCAACTAAAACTCCATGGCGTCCTTGGTTCCTTGGCAGTGAGGTAATTAATTAATCTTGAAGATAAAATATTTAAGGTTATTTTTACCATTTTTCTCCCCCAAAAAGAATACGTATTGATGGAATTATTTTTCCTTTTTATTTGAGGGACTTATAAAAGTGAATGTGACACTTTTTGTCTTCTTTTTAACTTATTAACTCTCTTACTAAATTAATTATTTTACAAAAATGAAATTACATATTGGGATAATTAAATTGATCGACGATATTTTGTTATGTAATCAGGTTGGAGGGTATACACAAGTTTATAAAGGAGACTTAACATTTGCTACAGTTAGAGGGGCTGGCCATCAAGTGCCCAGTTATCAACCTGCTAGAGCTCTTTCCCTCGTTAAGCACTTCCTTAGTGGGAAACAACTCCCAACTTCTTCAAAACAGTAAAATGCGGTCGTTTTATATATTTCATCGTTTAGTATTGCAAAAATAAAAAAATAAAATACAAGTTATTATATTTTTCAGAATACTGTGCATCAAAGATGTTGTTTTATATTTTTCGTAGTTTGGCATGGTTGAGTCAAGATCAAAGAGTCGAAGAGGCTGCGATCAATAGTGAGGTTTTGGTTTTAACAAGCATATCTTTGCCGTTAGCTTAGCTTAGCTTTTTATTATTTTTATTTTTTTATTTTTTTTCAACTCTTGCAACTTAGAGGTTGTTTGACGAAGTTTTTAATAAAAATTTAAGTAGATTTTGATAAAAGTTAATGAAATATTTAGTTAAAAGTTGATAAAAAAAAATTGTGAATCTCATTAAAATTAATTGTTAATTTTGACCTTGACTTTTTAAAATTTTCGTAACAACCACTTAGGCTTTAGATTGATGAATTTGATGATATTGGAAAGAGTACTACAAGCAATGTCTATTGATCCATATTGAAATAATAATAATAATAATAATAATAATAATAATAATAATAATAATAATAATAATAATAATAATAATAATAATAATAATTTTTTTTTTTTTTTTTTTTTTTTTTTTTTTTTTTTTTTTTTTTTTTTTGAAGAATGCTTGAGGTACATTGTGGTGTCCAAAATAGACACCCAACGCCTCGGTATTGGCCGAGGCGCCTATGGGTCCAGGTATGGTAGGCCCCTCGGCCAATGTCGAGGGGCCGGGTATCCATTTTGGACACCAAAATGGACACCACAATATACCCATAGTACTGTCGTTTTTTTTTTTTTTTTAATTTAGAGTCGACAATACTCTTAACATTCAATTTATTTCTAACACACAATTAACTTCTACATCACTAAATACTATTATTATGAATTATAAATACTGTCACTTTCATTTAAAAAAACTATAAAATATGTTCTATTAAAAAAATGTAAGAACAATAAGCATTTCTTTAAAAGAAAAGGCACTATTCATTAATTAAAGTTGTCGCAAATCGCATACAATACAAATCCAGTAATACAAATAATCAATCCAAACTCTAGTACTTGGATAAATAACATCATAAGACGCAATGACAATGACTACAATATTTCCTTCGCAAGGAACATAACAATCCAAACTACAATTTACATCTTTAAGCAAGAATAAGATATTACATAAAATAATGGCATTAGGAGCCCACAAGAAATCAGAATTAAGGCTTTGAATAACTAGAAGCGAGTCACTCCATGAAAAAGCAAATTAAAATCACTATATGTACAATTATATAAATATATTTCAACAGTGGGTTATGAAAAGTAAATTAAATTATTAGTGCTGAAAATATAAAAATGGCATACGCCATGAAACTGAATCGTAGAATTAAGTCGCCCCACAATCCAATATATTATAAAATCAATTAAAAATCATCAATGTTAATTCATCCTAAGCAGGCTGATCTTGTGATTGTCAGGGCTCGAGACAAAATCCATAAATTAGACCCCATCCCAAAATCAACGTAAATTCAACGGTGCATTATGTAATCTATTGTTAACTTAAAATTTAACATTAAAATAATGAACAAATATCACTACTCTCTTAAAAGAGTGAATCGCAAGTTACTATTCATTTATGATTTCTCCTCACATATCACTGTTGTATATGTGGACAAAAAAAGCCATGATTGTTTATGATATCAGCTCATTTTTTATTGCTCCCAACACTTATGTTTTGGCCTCCACCATTCAATCCTATGGGGCCCATTTCACACTCAAGATTCGGTTTGCATACTGTTCCGTATTCAATTCTTCACCGTTCATACAAATATCTACTTTATATATACCATTTTAGCCCTCATTTGACCCTTGTTATTTGGATTTATAACGGGAGAATAGTATTTTTTTTTTTGAAAAATGGATAATTGTAAAAGAATGAAAAAATTTCAATTTACGTGTAATATTATTTTATTGAAAATTGTGTGTTTAAAAAAATGAGAGAGAAAATTTTTAAATTAAATTGATGAGTTTTAATGGGGTCAAACGAGGGCTTAGCTTCCCTTACACCTTTGGTAGTCTCTATCTAAAGACAAAAAATGAAGGTGATTTTCATTCCATTGTCAATGAGGAAGAATGAAGACGAAGAAGTGGGATTCATCACGATGACCGACGTGGTAGAAGAGGAGCTCAAGCGCGCAATCAAAGACCACAAGGCCAGATTTCTACTTCTTTTTTGCCTATGCTTTTGTGTATATCATGTAGAGAATAAAAAGATTGTGTTCTCTTCATCATAACGGACTAATCAGCCGACAAAAATTAAACACAAAAATGGAGCCAACCCTGAAGGTTCGTTCTGTTGGAAATCTACTTATCATGCGTAGTGGAGACTAAAACAGATTTTAATTCCCACCAAGGATTTACTTTGTGTTTAGATAGAAAGTATGATAGAAATTGTAAGTTTTTTTTTTTCCCTACAAACTCCTTTGTTATTTTTTCTTTGATTCTGCAAACTCATTTTCTATTCTTTCGCTCCAATATCTTGATTTGTCACTTACGGCTGTCTAATTGTCCAGCTTCCAATGGAATTCCACACAGAGAACAAGATTGTAGGGAACCAGGGTTTTCTCCTTTCCTATACTAGCAAGAATGAAAATCTCCACAAATTGAAAACCTTGGTCACTTATTTATATATAAGCCCAAACGGGCTTGATCTAACCCAATCTAATATTTAATTAACTCATTTACTTAAATTCAGTCATTAAATTAATTAATCCAATTAATTAATTCAGGTATATAAATAAGAAACACAATTAATTAATTTATCCATCCAACGTTTGTTAAATTAATTAATTGACAAATCACAATCTTCTAGTTATCCTTTTGTGTGCGACCCATCAGGTTCTCAATGACGATGCCTAACGATGTGAATTATTATTTTGATCTAATCAAATCGATAAATTTAAACACTCTTTTAATTTATCACCAACTCACGTTCGTCATCCCAAATTGACATCTAACAATGTGTCAGAGCAATACATGGACGAGAAATGTCACGTGATATAACAAAATCAAACTCGTTCGTTTACCGTGAAACTATAATCTTCGTCATTATGATCCGATCCATTACAAGATATAAAAGTGTGTCAATCCTGATTATCGATCATATCTTTCATTCCACTATTAACTCTATATAAGTCAAAAACTCATTTACGACTTTTGAGTACACCTTTGCCATGGATATCAACTTAATTGAATGAAATGTAGATCATAATTTCTTACTATCTAAGAGTGACGAATTATTTATTGATCATTCACAATCTTTATACAATTCTTGACTTACCCGAATGATGCCGTATTAGCAACCCTTGTCAGAACAACATCGAATACTGTGAAAGCATGACTGTCCTCATATAAGGCACTATGACGACTCAAGTCAAAGGACCAATTTCACTATCGAACGTTAGAGATTAACCACTGACACTCAAATAGTTATCCATGTGGAATCTCTTAGCGAGTTTCTGATATCTTGTTATATAACAAAATATTTACGTGTTCATTCTAGTGTCACCACACTTTAGGTTGTGAAATCAGCTATTTATTTTACAAGTAAGAAATGCCACACGAGATGATTAATCCGTAATAACGATATCCATATCTCATCATTACTCACGACCACGGATGATTTAAGATTTAATCATATGTAATATGTATCTCACAATCACAACTCCTTGTGATTAACAAATTACTAAGATTTGAATCCACAGACTCTATTATTAAATTCAATTGAATATTAATTAATAAAATAATAGATCTGTCACAAATTGCATCAACTATATATTAAAAGTGTTTATGTCTAAAATCGATTGGACCTAGCGCATAACACTTACAGCTTTCCACCCTCAATTTTCTACTTTTTTAACTTCTATCCTTTTGTTTTTCTTCAAGACTTTTAATGATTTTTTAGTACAGAAATGTTTTGGCTTTTCGAAATTTTACCCCTACCAAAAATGAAATTGAGAAAATTTTAGATGGTAAAGATTGCTTAGGTGATTACAGCCACTGGCAATGGTAAGTTGTTGTGGTAAGCTTCAATTTATTACTGTGTTTTGCATTATAATCTTAATACACTTGTTTGTTTGAAGAAAATATACTTCTAATTAACCATTTTCTTTTAGGCGAAGGCAGTTGCAGTCAAGGATGAGATCTACCTTCTATTTAGCAGCGAAAAGCCTGTGCACGAGGTCCTAGGTAGAGGAAAACGTATCGATGATATATCTCTCTATCGATTAATTTTGCACATCTATTGGATATTTATGTAGGATCTTGGCATTTTGATTGGCAAATGACTTTTATGTGTGTTTATATTACTGGTGCAATTATAGTTGTGTGAGATTTTGACTAAAGATCTATTTAAGGTTGATTCAACTTAATTACTACTGTTTAGTAGGAATGTGAAAATAGAATCACTATTCTGGAATCACTTATAGCTTTTTACTATTGATAATTTATTTATTTTACCCTTTTTATTTTGAATTGTTACCATACTTCTGACACGTGAACCTTTAACATTCACAAAAATGCAGTAAGGGGATACAAATAAGCTAGGGCATATATTCAAATGTGAAATTATGAATTATACTCTAATTCTTGCATTTTTCGAGGAATCAAGTAGAGACATCAACAATTCTAGATACCCATTGTTCACGTATTTATTTGTTCGATTTTAAAACTACCGCAAGTGTACGAATCGTGAAAAGTAGTAAAATGGACTATGAGTCTGAATATCGTTCCCACGAGGATTGAATTAACTCTAATTTAACTATAGTGACCTTAACCGATACCAATTGAGTAGAAAGGTGATTA